ACGACTAGGGATGTGCCGTGTATCCGATAGATACCCGGAATCCGGCTTATCCGGCCGTTTTTCTTTTATCCGACTATCCGGCCGGATACTAGACTTCTTCACTACTTCCACAATTCGACTTGTCAACAATTCTATTTTTTTTGCATATAATTATTGTTATATATTACATAGTAATGCATATAATTATTTATATGTTTTTGTTAAATTATAGAGAAGTCCCTTTTTTTGTAACAGGTAATCTCGCGAACGGCTGGTCCGATTTTCATGAAATTTTGTATACAAATAGCCACCATGTTTTAGGCTACAAAAATTTTTCGGGTAGGTGGACCAGGGACCGGTCTATTCGAAAAAATCTTATTATAGTCCGATTTGCATAAAATTTAGTACGTAAGTAGCTTTTTAGCATATATTAGCATACATGACCCATTTTTTCCGGGAAGTGGTCCAGGGACCGATCTATTCGAAAAAATCGAATTTACGGTCCGATTTGCTTAAAATTCGGTGCGCGGGTAGCTTTTTAGCATGTATTAGCATATGTGATCAATTTTTTCCGAGAAGTGGACCAGGGACCGATCTGTTCGAAGAAATCGTATTTATGGTCCGATTTGCTTAAAATTCGGTACGTAGGTTGCTTTTTGCCTGAATAAGCTTATAGATTCCTGTTTTCCAATTTTCATGCAATTTCGAATATAAATAGCTTTAAGTAACGACCATATCAAGGGGCGAATTCGTCATTAGGCAAGATTTTTTTGCGCCAATCAGAGAGCGTAGGCAATTGGCTGAGTCAGTGGAATCGTAGGTTCGAATCCTACTGAAAGAAGTCTGATGAGGAAATGTAGTGATTTCCGAAATAGCTATCACTTCTACCATTTTTTCAAATTATTGTTGCTTTTCCACAAAAAAAATTTTCATTTAAAACGGCCTCGAGCTCAATATAAATTGTTGAATATAATTGTTAATAAGGCCAATAAAATAACAAAAACTAATAACTTCAGGACGAGCACACCTAGAAGTTAAACATTCTAAAAATAGAATTATTAACAAAAACCAA